GGCAAATAGTCTTCTCTTCCCTTAACAATACCTGAACCTTCCTAAGACAATACAACTTGCTTAGAGAAAAACCCTTCACCCAGAGAAGGAAGAAGGGATTTGAAAAAGCCATCTTGAGCAGGAAGAATTATTAGTAGGACCATAGGTATTTCAGAGAGGTTATTAGCCTTATAGCCAAGGGTGTTGCTATTAAAAAAGTTCTCATTCTCAGATGCAAATGAGTAGTTAGTGGAGAGTGCTTGTATGGGATTGTGATGTCTTAATAGGATATCACTTGCAAGAACCAGGGAGACATCATTTTTTATTCAGTCCTAGTTTTTACATTAATAGACTGCTGCTTTGTATTCTTCTTTTTAAAAAAGAATGGGTTAAAAAAAAGAATGTCGTTTAGAAAATATATGGAGAATAAGTAGAGATGTGCAATGCAATAACAGAAAAGATGAAAACACGTTTTAAAATGTTTTGTTTATTCAAATGGAAGAGTTGAAGCTAAAGAGTGAACAAGAGACATTTAAACAGAACTGATCCCTTGTTCTCAATGTATACATAACACAAGTGAGACAGTCAGTTTGTTACATAAATGGAAAACCAATTACGTGGTATAAAAAGATTTGGTCTTGATATGATTTTAAAAGCACTAACTAGCTACTTGAATTTAATGTTTCAGGGATTGACTTTTCTGGAAAGAAAAGACTGGTTACATGACTATAGGCAGCCCTTGAAACGTGAAAGATTTAATCTCTTGTTTTGTTAATAACCATGGCTGGAATATATTTTGAGGGGGCTCTATAGAACGCAATTCTAAAACAAGAAAAAAAATCTGTTTATTATTTTAGCTTTTAAGAGCTCCTGTGTGTTTCAGGAAATAGAATCAATCATTTACTTAAAGAAAATAGTGAACAAAGAGGCTCTTCTCCTCCAAGTAACCTAAGAACACCCCAAAAGTCATTTTAGCTTTCTATATTTCTCCCATCCAAATACTAACCAGGCCTGACCCTGCTTAACTTCTGAGATCTGATGAGATCTGGCACGTTCAGGATGGTGTGGCTATGGACAGCTTTCCTTATTTCTTACAAAATCGTAGTTCTAGGTTGGACTGAATCAGTCAAGGCAGATTTGCTTTCCTTTTGTCTTGCTTATGCTTTGTAATCATTGTTTAGAGAATATCTCACCAATCTTAGATGTTTAAAAAGCAGAGTGGAAGATTCTAATGACCTAAATTCTAAGACAAATTCCAACACTATTTAAAGGAATATAGGGGCGCCTGGGTGGCTTAGTTGGTTAAGAGTCCAACTCTTGATTTTGGCTCAGGTCATGATCTTAGTTTGTGAGATTGAGCCCTGTGTCAGGCTCTGTGCCGTCAGCCTGGAGCCTGCTTGGGATTCTGTCTCTCCCTTTTTCTCTGCCCCTCCCCTGCCCCCTCTCTCTCTCAAAATAAATAAGTAAACTTAAAAACATAAAGGAATACAATAAAATGCAATAATAAACAATATAAAAATCAAAACAACTAGCATCCAAGCAAAAAATTCTCAGGCATAGGCAACGATGTGGATGGAACTAGAGAGTATTATGCTAAGTGAAATAAGTCAGTCAGAGAAAGACAAACACCATATGATTTCGCTCATGTGGAATTTAAGAAACAAAACAAATGATCGTAGGGGAGAAAAAAAAAAGACAAAACCAGAAACAGACTCTTTAATATAAAGAAAAAACTGATTGGTTTATTAGGGGGGGGGTGGGGGGGGGGATGGGTTAAATAGGTGATGGTGATTAAGGATTGTATTTGGTGTGGTGAGCACTGGATGTTGAATGGAAGTGTTGGATCGCTATATTGTACACTAACTGAAATTAAAATAACTAAATAAATTTAAAAAAGTAAAAATAATAAAGTAAGTATTAGGGGTTAGTGGTTAAAGGTTTGGGGTTAGGGTTAGGATTAGGGTTAGGGTTAGGATTAGGGTTAAAGTTAGGGATTAGGGTTACGGTTATGGTTAGGGTTAGGGTGTGTGACCCTATGTTTACTGCAGCACTATTTACAGTAGCCAAGATATGGAAGAAACCCAAATATCCATCAACAGATGAATGGATAAAGAAGATGTGTTATATATGGATAGATCTAAAGGGTATTATGATAAGTGAAATAAGTCAGACAGAGAAAGACAAACCCCATATAATTTCACTTACATATGGAATCTAAAAAACAAAACAATTGAACAAACAAGAAACAAAGAAACAAACAAAAGCCCAGAGTCTTAAATATAGAGAACAAACTGGTTGTTGCCAGAGGATTGGCAGGTGAGGGGGGTGGATGAAATAGATAAAGAGCATTGAGAGGTAAAAACTTCCATTTATGAAATAAATAAGTCACGGAGAAAAAAATTACAGCATAAGGCATAAAGTCAATAGCACACTAACAATGTTGTTTGGTGCCAGATGGTGACTACACTTATCTTGGTGAGCACTGAGTAATGTGTAGAACTGTTGAATCAATATGTTGTACACCTGAAACTAATAAAACATTGCATGTTAATTATATGTCAATGAAAAATGATTATTTTAAAAAAAAAATTTTTTTTTAACGTTTATTTATTTTTGAGACAGAGAGAGACAGAGCATGAATGGGGGAGGGTCAGAGAGAGAGAGAGGGAGACACAGAATCTGAAACAGGCTCTGGGCTCTGAGCTGTCAGCATAGAGCCCAACGCGGGGCTTGAACTCATGGATCGCGAGATCATGACCTGAGCCAAGTGGCCGCCCAACGACTGAGCCACCCAGGCGCCCCGATTTTTGTTTTTCTTAACAAAAAAAAGGCACAATGGGAATCACAATCCCATTTGGCTATGGGCTTGTGTCCATATCTCCCCCCTTGTATTCACCTTCTGAGCTCTTAGACAAGAAACTGATCTGTGATTTTTGGTCACGTCGTCTCTCATTAACCCACGGTGCCCACAGTTATTTCTAAGAATCCTCAGCTCTCTTCACAAACCACAGCCTACCATGCATAAATTGCTGTTTCCGGTTTCCATATCTTTACCTGTGCTCCTTCCTTTGACATTGCTTGAAGTGAAGCTATCACACAACTATTACCTTTTTGATAAAGTCTTTTCATACTTCCTGCTCATATCTTACTATTTATCTTCTATGTGGAGTTTTAAATACTATACTTATCCTCTATTTAAAATGTCTCTTCACATTTCTCTCACTTCCAGACTATGAATTCTTCGAGGGAGATTCCATATCTCCTCCTCCTCCTTCTCTTTCTTCTGCATAATTATCATCTACAACAGAACTTGGTATATGAGAAACTGAATTAGTGTTTTTAGCTGTTTTGAACTCCATGATATTTTCACGCTTTTCTCTACCAGTCTGATCAATGGTCTTTGAACATGTAAAGAAAAATATTTTGTCATGAGCAATAATTAGACACTGCAAAAGCCACAGGTGAGACAGAAAATATAACTGTATCTCATAAAAATCCTATAAATATTTATTTGGCAGAGCAATGGGCATTTAGAGGCAAGAATATTTGTGAATTCCTTAGGTAGGTGAATAGGTAGATTTAGGATGGTGTCAAGAACAAGGAGTCTTTAAGTTTTTGGTGGCTCTCTTTCTTGGATTGTCGTATTTTCTAAACCTCAGGATATATGCTTTTCTTTTTTCAACCCGTCCAAATGCATGTATCTAGAAAATAAATATCCGGTTGTGTGTTTGTGTCTGTCTTATATGTATGCATATAGGAGAACAGTAAAGATGATTTTCATTAAAAGGTAATTAAATATTTTTTCATGAATTTTAGGACTTCACCTAAGACCTGAGGTAAAACAAAAACAAAAACAAAAACCAGGGCGTCTGGGTGGCGCAGTCGGTTAAGCGTCCGACTTCAGCCAGGTCACGATCTCGCGGTCCGTGAGTTTGAGCCCCGCGTCAGGCTCTGGGCTGATGGCTCAGAGCCTGGAGCCTGTTTCCGATTCTGTGTCTCCCTCTCTCTCTGCCCCTCCCCCGTTCATGCTCTGTCTCTCTCTGTCCCAAAAATAAATAAACGTTGGAAAAAAAAATTTAAAAACAAAAACAAAAACCAACTAAAAACAACCTGATCAAACTTATTCATGAGGGAGCTCTTCCCCTAGGTGACTCATTAACTGTCTCCTTTTACATTGCTCTGGGAAAATCAGTCTTATTCTGAGACCATTCCCAGCACAGATTGAAAGCATATTGGTCTTCCCTGTGCTGTTTGGTACCATTTTTGACTACCTTCTGTATTGCTAATTAGCTATCTCTTTTCCACTCTGGGGGAATTTCAAATAGCTCCATATGCTAGATGTGATTTTTCTGATGCTGCTATTTCAGGTCTTCTAGAAAACAGGTGGGTGAGAAAGATGAGCAGAACAGATTCAATCAGATTTTTGTTGGCTGAGATATTTTCTGGTAACTAAATCAGAGTTTGAAATCTCCAGTGGTAACTAAATCAGAGTTTGAAATACCCAGTTGCGGTCCAGGAGAAGAGGACACCCAGAAGAGAAAGAGTTGAGAAGAGTAACTGAGTCAACAGGCAGGGTTTGAAAAATAGTCTGCAGGGAATCTATATTGGTCTTTAAACAGGGATAGAGAGGTATTCAGTGTCACGTATCCAAGGGTAAGAAACATGATGCGAAAGAGTCAGGAGCGATCCAGGAGGCACACAGGAGTGTAAATGACATCAGGATGTGCATGGAATATTTAGATTTAGCTCCCGAGTCAGATTAGTTTGGTAGCAGACATCCACTCCAGAGTTGGTACTAATGTCTGGTTTTGGTTGTAGAACACAACTTCTGAGTGGATCAAGCAAACAGAATTATTCAATTTAGTCAAGCATTTGCCAAAGAAGCAGGAATTGCATGTTCTCTCCTCCTACACTGACCATTTAATTAGTTACTACAAGAAATGACTGACAAGAAAAAATCTGAAGTAATTGCTGAGGTCAAACATTCTATTTAATTTAAAAGGACCACGGTCTTCCTGAACGATTCATAAAACCTTGATATCTGGGTGTTTTGTATATCCATTTTTTTTCATTCAACAAAAATATACTTCTTCAGCTTCTGTTATGTTTTCAACATTAACCAGAGTGCTGGGCTTACAGAGAAAAATACACAATTTCTTGCCCCCATGAGCTGGACTCCATGGGAATAGAAGATAGAAAGTTACATTGCATTACTGTGCCTGGAGCAGGAAGAGCTGAGAGCTGGAGAGGTAAGTAAGGGAAGAATATTATTTAGGGAAACGTCTCATTAGAAAAGAAATGGGAATAAGGGGGAAAATTTGGTTTCAAATTAAAGATCGGCCATTCTCTATGGCAGATGAGGCCTTCTGTCAAATATTTTCTTTTTCTTTTCTTAATGTTTATTTTATTTTTTGAGACAGAGAGAGACAGAGTGGGGGAGGGGCAGAGAGAGAGGGAGACAGAGAATCTGGAGCAGACTTCAGGCTCCGAGCTGTGAGCACAGAACCCGACGTGGGGCTCGAACCCACAAACAGTGAGATCATGACCTGAGCTGAAGTCGGACGCTCAACTGACTGAGTCACCCAGGCGCCCCTCAATATTTTTTGAGAGGAAAAACTCAGGTCCTTGTGTTTGTGAGATTAGCTTGTCTTTCTAAAGCTTTTTACTGGGTGTGTGGCTAGGGCTCCTTGGAATTTTAAATATGTAAACTACTTTTTCATTCTTTCCTGTATTTTTCCATCTAATCTCAGAACTTGAGGGAAGCGTCATTCTTTGTCCTTTTCTCTCCTACACGATTCTTTTCATCGCTCTTTCTCTATTTCTTACTCCTTTGCTTCATTTTTGTTTTATCATTAAATCCTTTTTTTCTCTCTATCCCTCACCATTGTTCAAGTTCTTCTCTTTGTATGCTTTCTAAATCTTCATCTTCTAAGTTATCTTATTTTAAACAATTAAGTTGACATTGCAAAGGAATGAACTCAAATTAATTTAGCAAACACTGACTTCCTAGAACTGACAATTCTGTCCTCTGAAACTGCTAGGATGATGACAGAGATGAATAAAGCAGAGGTCCTGCCCTCTAGGGCTTGGGAACACAGGAAACGAGTCATGTACAGTAACTATACTGCAGGGCAAAATGTACTATGAGAAGTATGAAGTGCTATGGGAAAGAGAGGGAATGAGGTTTCTTTTCCTGCTAGGATAGTGGGGAGGTTTCATGAAATGGGTGGCATTTAAACTGGGTTGTGAAAAACGAGCAACATTTCAAGACAGATGAGGCAGGGTGTTTTATTTGGAGGGGATAGTTTGAAGAAAAGGAGGAAAAGATAGTTTCAGACATGGTGAAGGGTCTGATTTAGCCGAACACAGGGTGAGTTAGTGCTGGAGCCAAAACACAGAGGCCCTAGAATACCAGGGTTGTTCTTTAGTCAGTGGGAAGTCTCCAATTTGGAGTAGTAGAGAGGCATAGCTAGTGTTTCTGGAATATTAATTTGCTGTAGAATGGGCAGGGGTGGGCAGAGATTGGGGACCAGGAACACTTAGAATTTTATAGGACCCTTGTATTTTTTCATCTTCGGCTAGTTAATCTTCACTACTGTATCATCTTGAAGCTCTGGTCTACTGGTTCATTCCCTATTTCTTATTTGGTTTCTCTGCCCTGCTTCCCTGGATCCCACTCCATCCCAACCAGATTCTAGGTAAATCATGGAAAATTTGGATTTTTTTCTTCTTCAAGTAATAAAACTGCAGGATGTTGGACGATTTTTTCCTTGGTTTGGGGCTTTTCTTTTATTTATTTGATGGTGATATGATCAAATGAAAAAAGGGACAGTAATAGGCAGAAATTATTTTATACATCTGTGTGAAAATCTAAAGTTCATGTAACTTATTGACAGTATAGCCACTAAAAGGCAGACCTTCTGATTCTAGTACAGTCCAAATTCACCTGTTTCTACTGTAGTGTTCTTTTCACTATAACAAAAAGACTTATTATAATTTTTCTTTGTATCTTTACAAATTCTTTTCCTTTTCCCTTCCTGACTCAGAACAATACATGGCCCTTTTATTTTGCAAGGCTAAGCCTCCTTATTTTTATTTTTTATTTCATCCATTTCTGCTACTCCAGAGCCTATGGCCAATTACCTCTGGCGGTTAGGCACTTTGATATTCTTCCCCATTTGTTCCTATGAAACTCTCATTTCTGCTGTTTATTTAATCATTAAAAAGTCCTTTTATTTTGGGCTCTCTCCATGTATCCTTCTCCTTTGTTAATTTTTAAATTGTATACTCTCAATAGACTAACTGTATTAACAACCTGATTTTACCTTAATCCTGGGCAATCTGAGTTCCTCCTTCTAATATTCATTCATTCCATAATTATTTATTGAGCATAACTGATGTGTTACATTCTAGGCACTGGAAATACATTAGTGAAGAATTCCTAGAAGGGTCTTCCCTCAAATACCAATTTTCTTATTTTTGATCCCAGAAACACTGAATTAATTCCTATTCTTGATTCCACTGCGACACTATCCACCTTCTGGAATAATCTCATTTCTTGACTTCTAGAGCCTTGAGCCCTCTGGTTTTCTGGAAATTTTCTTTCTATGTTTTTGGTTCTTTTTTCCAGACTTTAAATCTTGGGCTTTTCTCATACTGTATTTGACCCTTCCTCTAGATATATATATATATCTTGTGGCTTCAATGATCATATTCATGCAGATGATTTCTAAGTCACCTCCCTAGCCTTGGCTTCTTTAAAAAAACACTACTTTACATATATAACATTTCTCAACTTAAATCCCCCAAATGGTTCCTTCTCCATCATGGAGTATTTCATCCTCCATAGCCTGGCTTTCCAGGACCTCTGCAATCTGTTTCCCATGTATCTTTACTTTTTATCTCTTATGTTTCTCCTACACAGCTTGCATTGAAGCCAAAAAAGTCATTGCTTTCTCCCCAAAACTGCTTGCTTACTCTCACTTCTGTACCTTTCCATATGCTGTTTCCTCTCTGGAATATCCCTACCCATCTCTTTTGGTTATTTTTTAAAAAGTGTGAAATATTCTACATACAAAAGAGTATATAAACATATGTATACTAAAAATAATAAGGTAAACTCCCGTGCACTTATCACTCAGGTTAAAAGATAGTTTTTTGTTTTTTGTTTTTTTTTTAAATAGGTGTTATCTACCCTTCTATTAAACTATGAGTAAGCAACCTGCTGTTATTCTAGTGTTTTATCAGTTGGAAGGTAAAGACCTTTTTATTTTATTTATTTATTTATTTATTTATTTATTTATTTATTTCAACATTTTTATTTTATTTTTTGGGACAGAGAGAGACAGAGCATGAACGGGCGAGGGGCAGAGAGAGAGGGAGACACAGAATCGGAAACAGGCTCCAGGCTCTGAGCCATCAGCCCAGAGCCCGACACGGGGCTCGAACTCACGGACCGCGAGATCGTGACCTGGCTGAAGTCGGACGCTTAACCGACTGCGCCACCCAGGCGCCCCAAAAGATAGTTTTTTAAGTACCTTATAAAGCTCTTGTGTTTCTCTATTTTTGTTCCCCTACAGTTAACCTCCAGCTGATTTTTGTGTTAAGAATCCCTTGCTTTTTCTTCTGTTTTTTTTTTTTTTTTTTACCGTTTATGTATGCAAATTAGGCAAAAGCAAAAAAAGATCCACATTGTTTAAAAATGAATACTACTGGATACTTAAACCTGGATGTCCACCTTTCACTTCACACTTGGCATGTCTACACTAGAATCCATCATCTCCTGCCCTCCCTGCCACCTGGGTTTCCCTTTAGGGAGGGACTTGCTGCCCAGCTGTGGGGAGTGCCATCAGCAGGCGGCCCTGAGGTCGCACCAGAGCAGCCCACATGTGGTGGATGACTGAGTGAAGGGAGGTACAAGTGCTCAGCTATTTTCACCCCACATGGGGCAATCTGAGCTCACTCCAGAGCTCTCTGTGGTGGGGATTTGTTGGGTCTGCATCATAGTTAGATTTCATTCTTTGCCCAATCCTGCCTTCTCTGACTTCCCTTTAAAGGTGTTAACCACCCATGAGCAACTTGTACCCTAAACTCCACCTCAGCGCTTGCTTTTGGGAACCCAGACTGCTTTACTGCCCTCCTCCCCCTTTTCCTCTTTATAGCAAACTATTTTTATCTATTTTGTATCTAAATCCGTGGGTGACGTTGTCCTAAAGAATTTTTTTTCTCATACTGCCCTGGTCAAATTTTAGTATCGACGTTATATTAGTGTCATAAAATGAGGTAGGGAAGAAAGTTTTCTCACTTTCTATGCAATGTCAGTAGAATTACAATTATTGGTTCCTTGAAGTTTTGGTAGATTTTGCCATTAAAACCAGTGTTATATTTCTGGGAAGATTTTTAAAATTGGATTTAAATTCCTTAATCTCTTTAGTGCAGTTGTAGGATTATTTATGTTTCTGATTTTATCATTTGTTCCCACAGAAAACAGCACAGTCAAGTAGAATAATAGAGGGAAGATGAACAATGAACAGACTATTTAGAAAGGTGAGGATAAGAGACTCTTAAACACTGAGAACAAACTGAGGGTTGATGGGGAGTGGGAGGGAGGGAAGGGTGGGTGAGGGGTATTAAGGGCACCTGTTGGGATGAGCACTGGGTGTTGCATGGAAACCAATTTGACAATAAATTTCATATTAAAAAAAATTAAAAAAAATCCTATTAAAGAAAAAAAAAAAAAAAAAGAAAGATGAGGATAGGATTAAAGGAGACCAGTAAGGAGCTGGTGAAGCATCCCAGTTGCTGGGATCTGTAAAGGAAATTATGCTTGTGGGAGAGAGCTGGCCCCATTAAAAAGAAAGGCAGACATTGCAAGCACAAGGTTTGGAGGGGATGGTCAGGAGATTGATATCCTTATCTTTCACACACTCTTCCTGGCCTCTTGTTTCTTGTTAGTGCCTCTAATTGACCAAAACTAGCCATCAGTGAGAGCAAGGGAGCCCAGTTTATGCAGTCCTTAAAGATCCTTCCCAGAGGTACAGAGCAGGGTGGATGGAGAAGAGGGACAATGAATCTAGAATGTCCAGCATAGTGAATTTTGGTAAGTTATGTTTTACTAGATATTTGCTGATATGATTAAAATTTTGGAATATGTTGGCCTAAAGTTGTTTATTATAGGCTCTTATTGGGCTTTTAATGTCTGTAACATCTCTACTTAGAGTCCTCTTTTGTTCTTGATATTAGTCCTATGTGCCATCTCTCTTTTTTCCTTGATTACTTTCAGCAGAGGCTTATCAATTTTACTTGTCTTATTAAAGAATAGCTTTTTTTTGGTAGATTTTGTAGATTTTTTTGTTTTCTATTTCATTAATTTATACTATATGATTTCCTTTCTTATTCTTTTTGTATGGTGGTTGTATTATCTAGTTTTTCAAGATGGATACTTAGTTCATTAAATTTTAAATTAATTTCAAACCTTTTTTCTTTATCTAACATTAGCAGTTAGACTATGTATTTCCCTCTAAATACTGCTTTAGCTGTATCTTACAGGATTTGGTATAAAATATTTTATAACTCAGTTTAAAACATTTTTTAATATTCATTGTGATTTCATCTTTGACCCAAGAGTTATTTAAAAATGCATTACCTAATTTCCAAACATATGAAGATTTTCTAGCTGTATTTTGGTTAGTGGTTCCACCTTCATTGCTTTAGGCTAGAATATTATTTTCATGGTAGCAATCTTGAATTTGTTAAGATTTGCTTTATAATATAGCATTTGGTAAAATTTTGTAATATTCTATAAATGCTTGAGTATTCTGCATATATCAGGGACAGGGATCTATATAATTCAATTAGATTAATCATGTTTTTAAACCTTCATATGCTGTCTAACATTTTGTCAGTTTGTCCTGTTATTCACTGAAAGAAGTGTATTTCATTCTCCCACTATTGCCACAAATATACAGAATTTCTCTATTTTCATGCTCGCTTTGGCAGCACATATACTAAAATTGGAACAGAATTTCTCTATTTCCTTCTGTAGTTCTGCAAGTTTTGTTTTTCTTCATATGTTTTTGGACATTTTGAAAGTCCTATGGGCTAGTAGAAGCAACAGTTTATTGGCATATAATACTTAGCACCTTCGTTTTCCTTTCACCAAAACTTTATTTAAAGTCTTTTACAGTTCTCTCTTGAAGCGGCTTACTGACATCAGAAGAGAGCCCATGGTGAAATTTTAAATGGAGTCCGTAATAATAAGGGAAATTGGTGGGAGATGGAGTGAGATTAGGACCAATGGATTTAGAGCCTTTTTCATATCTGCTTAGGTGCCACTGTGATCATGATTTGACCAAATGATTAGAGGTGACAGATAATTTTCAAAATTTGTACATTCTTGTAAGTAGGCAACGTGATGGCTTTGTATTGTGTCAGCTTGGCTAGATTGAGCTACGTCCTCTAGAATTCCTTTTTCTGTATGTTTGCAACTACAATAGGTTATAAGAGAAATTCTTTTGTAATATTTTGAGGTCAAAGTGAAACAGCAGCCATATTTGCCACTCGCACACATTGTCATTTCTTTGCTGGCTTATCTCATTGGTATGAGGCAGGGGCCAGGACTGCAGCTGCCACTTGGGATCCTTCTTCAGCTTCTCTGACTTGTGGGAGAGCTGTGTGTTCAGCTCTGTGGTGAAGGCCTTGGTTTCTCAATACATTCACACCATTGAGGTTAGCGGCAAAGAACATTGACACTCATTTTCGTCTGACCTTGGGAACTTTAGCTCTTGCTTGTGGGTTCCAGTTTATTTTTGTTTTACTCCATTTTACACCCATCTTTTCTTCCTGGCTGCGTGTCCCGTGGACTTCAAGCTACAGCATCAGATGCAAAGACAACAAACTTCCAGAGATTGCCGATTCACCTTTCATGATTATGTAAGGTCAAATCACTAACAAATCCCTTAGTATTTTATCTCCTAGTGGTTCTGCTTCTTTAATGGAACCTTGACTGATATGGCCAATAATCCCAATTTCTTATTTTTTCCTGTTCTTTCAGGCAAATTTGGAGCCCAAAGTGACTGAAACCATGGGGGGAGGAAATAATTCAGTGGTGTCTGAGATTGTGTTGGTGGGACTCACCAATTCTTTGAAGATGCAGCTTGTCTTATTTCTAGTTTTCTCTGTGTTCTATGTCACAGGTATTTTAGGAAACCTCCTCATTGTGCTCACAGTGATCTCTGACTCCCATTTACACTCCCCTATGTACTTCCTGCTGGCCAACCTCTCTTTTATTGACATGTGGGTTTCCTCCATTGCAGCTCCCAAGATGATTTCTGATCTTTTCAAGGAGAGAAAAGTAATCTCTTTCCAAGGCTGCATTGCTCAGATGTTCTTCATTCATGTTATTGGAGGAACTGAGATGGTTCTGCTCATTGCCATGGCCCTTGACCGTTATGTTGCTATATGCAGGCCTCTTCACTACCTGACCATCATGAACTTCAGAACTTGTATTTTACTCTTGGTGGTGGCCTGGACCATTGGGATCATCCACTCACTGATCCAACTTGTGTTTGTTGTAAACCTGCCACTCTGTGGCCCCAATGAACTGGACAGCTTTTACTGTGATCTTCCTCGATTTATTAGGCTTGCCTGCACAGACACTTACAGATTGGAGCTCATGGTCACTGCCAATAGTGGTTTCATCTCTCTGGGGACGTTTTTCATTTTGGTTATTTCCTATATCTTCACCTTGGTCATTGTTTGGCAACGTTCTTCAGGTGGCTTGTCCAAGGCCCTCTCTACTCTGTCAGCTCACATCACAGTGGTAGTCTTGTTTTTTGGTCCATGTATTTTTGTGTACTCATGGCCATTTCCCACAGTGCCAGTGGATAAGTTCCTTGCCATTTTTGATGTAATTATTACCCCATTTCTGAACCCTGCCATCTATACTTTTAGGAATAAAGAGGTGAAAGTGGCAATGAGGAGAATATTCAGTCAGGTGTCAAGTTTTAGGAAGATGTTTTAAGTAATTTTGATATCAAGAAAGACAAGCATCTCTAACATTCCCTGACTGTACTACAGACATGAATCTGATGAAACACAGTACCATGGATATTCTACTTACTAGTTTAATTAACTCCAGAATTTCTTAATGTATTTTCTGCTCACAACCAAGGAGGATATGATGTGCTTTCTTATGAAATGTGATGGAATAAAAGTATTAATATATGACTATTTCCACATTTTCTTGTCCCTCCTTTATAAAAGAGATTCTGTACTGGCCTCTTATATCTCTTTTCCAGGTTTGTGTGCTGAGCAGAATCTTCCCTTATCATATTGAGTTTTGGGGTTTGTAATGCAGAATCTGAAGAAAAGTGCTTTGGAAATTTGACAAAATTGAAATTATTAGGGATAGTGTTTTTCTTTTTTTTTTCTTTTGAGGTCCTATAGTGAGATGTGTGGGAGTAGCTGTACTGTGTGAAACAAATAGATAAAAGACAAAAAGAGGATTTTAAAGAAATACTGTTGTCTATCTCTTACCTTTTTTTAATTTAATTTTTTTTACTTTTTAAAATACCTCCTTTTTCAGAGAAAGAAGACCATTTCAGTTTTTAAAAATGTTTGTTTATTTATTTTTGAGAGAGAGAGAGAGAGAGAGAGAGAGAGAACATGAGCAGGGGAGGGAGAGAGAGACACACACAGAATCCAAAGTAGGCTCCAGACTCTGAGCTCTCAGTGGGGCTTGAACCCATGAACTGTGAGATCATGACCCAAGCTGAAGTCAAACACCTAAGCAACTGAGCCACCCAGGTGACCCTCTTATCTTTTTTTTTTTTTTAATGTTTATGTATTTATTTTGAGAAAGAGAGAGAGAGCACGTACGAATGGGGGAGGGGGAGAGAAAGGGAGAGAGCACTGTCAGTACGGAGCCAATGCGGGACTTGAACTCGAGATCATGACCTGAGCTGAAAATCGAGAGTCTGATGCTTAACCCACTGAGCCACCCAGGTGCCCCTATCTCTTACCTTTCAAAATATACTGCCCTTCATTAAATGAAAACAAAGAGCTAAAGTTATTTTGAATTATTTTTGTGTTTTTTAGAAATCTTATCAGCCTGAAATTGGATCACTGGATTATGGCTTCTTAGGCTTTTCAACTAGTGCACATGGCAACTATGAACTAAGCCTTATAATTACTTCAGTTCTTTCAAAAACTGTGTTCCTGTATGTTAGGAGATTTAAATGATGGGGGCCAGATAATGGACAAAGACAATGACCTATTTAATAATTCTGTCCTGAGTAGCGCTAATTCTTGCCCTAATTATACTGAAATCATCAGTGATTCCTCAGAGTTAGGTAAACTCTTTTCTTTTTCAGTGACATGGTTACAAGCACACACTCTTGAGCCAGACTGCCTGACTTCAAAACTTAGCTTTGCTTTTTACTAATATACAAATTGCTTTAGCTCTTTATGTCTAAATTCTGTCATCTGTAAAATAGAGGTTAAGTTGAACACTCTGAGATTTCTGATATTTTTTTTCACCTACCAAAATGGCAGTTCCTTATGGCTAAAGGTATCTTCCTCATAAGTTATAAAGATTGAACAAATTAATATTTGTAAAGTGCTTTAAACAATTCTTGGTCTATAATGTTATATATGTGCCTATTCAATAAAAGGAATTAAAACATTAAAACCACTTCTCAGTTTTGATGACCTTCTTTCATGCTGTCCAGAAATTATTTCCTTTCCTCCATTCATCAGACATTGGTCAAGAAGGTACTCTTTTCCTGGGCTGTCTGGCTGGCTCAGTTGTGGAGCATGCAACTGTTGGTCTTGGGGTTGTAAGCTCGAGCCCCATTCTAGGTGTAGAGATTACTTAAAAAAAAAAAAAAAAAAAGAATGTACTCTTTTCCTAACAAGACTCTTTTAAATGATAAAATTCCTTGATACTTCAACATGCCACAATTCAATTTACTTTCTACACTTCCTTTTAGATTCAAATTGCCTTCTTAACAGCTATGCAATAGTTCTATGAAGCTTGTTTTGGTTATCTGTGGTGCTTTTTTAATGTGCCAGAAGAAGTTACCAAGCTGACTA